AGACAACCAATAAAATAATAATAATAATGTATTGTTTTGTGACACGGAAAACAATAGGTACGTAAAATTATTAAAAACTATACCGCAGATGACTCCATAATATTTCGTTGTAACCGCACTCTAGGTATATACCAATACTACGCTTGGACGTATAGTATATTAGGTTATATACGTGTATATGACTCGTCGACGGACGAGTGACTCCGACAATTTGCAGGCAGTGATCTCTGTGTAGTGATAATTCTCGATATTCGGTGTCCACTGACGTCCACGATAATAATATATAATATTAAAAAATATATATTTTTTAAACGTATAAGATACTCATTATTTTGAAAACCATATTAAAAAACTTTTTTTTCATATATTATTTATTTTTATAAAAACAAGTTATTACAAAAATAGGTTATTGAACAAACTTATATTTTCTTATCATTATTGTTTTATAAGTTTTTACATTTTTCTTGAACAAAATAAGTACCTTATTCCAAAACAGAATATTTTTTCTGAATATTTGTGACAAGTAATTAGTTATAAATTATAACTTATTATAAGCTAGTTTTGATGTACAGAGTACAAGAGTATTTACCCAACTAAATGTTTACTATTCATCTGTTATAAACTAAAATTAAATAATAATTAATTAATCATTATAAATACTCGTTCGAAAATTGATTACGTAAAAGCTTTGTACTTTATAATAAAAGAAAAATATTTTGTTTACTTAACAATTTATTATAATAATTTTAGATGCAAATCTATAAGAAATGATAAAAATTTGAGAAATATATATTAACCAGAATATTATTTATTTATATATTATGATATAATTTGCAGTATGTATAGTGACAACCAATAACTTTGGTGGGCGTTGGCCGTTGATAGATCAATTCAATATAGGCATAAGAATATTTTTAATCATCTACGTTTTTCCAAAGACAGTTTGACAGAAATATAAAAATTTTTATATTTTGTCAACATATGACCAATAAAATTTATATACATTTTTTAGAATCAGTTTTTTCACATAAGTACTTTAACTGTTTTATTTACATGATGTAAAAGGTCTTTCTTTTTTGCGTTTTAAGTCCTTTTTTTGATCATTTATATTGCTTCGAATTACACACCCTAATATTAGTAATACATTCTATATTTGTATCAACTAACCCCGACCACAAGCCTGCCAGCTCGTATTGCATAGCAGATATTCGTATAATATAATCTAGTCTATAACGCACGACCGCGCACCCCCACAAATCGCATCACAATGATAATGGTAATATTATAATCGATGCGAATAATCGACTCGGTGAAGTGTATTGTATCATTGAATTATGCAAGGTACGTGGGGATGAGGTACAGGCACAGAATATAGATACTATGTAGTACAATATAATATTATAATATTATACGCGTAGATATATGTACGTAATTGGACGCCCGAAGGGGCACACACCAACTAGAAGAATATTTGCGCGGACGGCCGATGCGTCGTATACGCGATATTATTATTATGGCGCCGTCGCGTTTTAATGTTAATAATAATAATAATAATAATAATATATAATATTGCAATAATATAATATTATGCGCACGAAGCCGTCCGCTCCCACGTTGAAAATCAAACCCTCCCCTCACCAGTAAATTTTTTTCGCGTGATTTTTACTCACCAACTAACGTAGCAAGGCGCCATATAGGTAGGTATGTCGGAGAGTCGTTATTTATGTGTATACATTATAATGTGCCTATATACCTATTACCACCTATACCTGTATTATGTTATATTATATTATTATTATGCTGCAGCATCGCTACCGCCGCCACTGTTGCGGGTATACTTAATATAATACACCTTCGGCAGGCAAATAAATCGGGTTCGTTTACTGAATTATTATTCATCCTCGAGGTATAGTATCGAGTATCTCCCACGTAACGTCCCGTACGACTCAATAAACGATTTGTGCACTTAAGGGGTTCTTAGTGTTATGACGTTATCATTTCGTATACGCGTGATATTAGTATGCGCACGCCTAAGAGTATCGCGGGTTTTACAAATTTCACGGCATGCCCATAATTATAAAAATAATAAACTCACAAGATTGTTTTTTTTTTCTGTCAATATATCTATAATTTATAAGAGAACGTTTCGCCAGCATGAGTCGTGTTACCCCGTTTTTAATACGTAAAAACATATTATAAGTTCAGCAGAACCGATTTTCCGTTATTAGCTCAAATATATTAGTATACACTGGTTAATTACCAAATTTAATGGTAACAAAATTGTCAACATATTTTAAACAATGGTTTTTTTCACGATATTTTAATAATTAATTTTTAAGCTAAGTTTTAGTTTTAAGTCATGAATACCTATGTTTATTATTATAATACTTCAAAAATATAAATATCGTAAAAACCAACAAAGATACAACTTTCGTGTTATATAATTGACCAATTGGTCAATAAATCTAACAGTAAAGCTAACAAAGTAACAAAATAAAATAAAAACGTATAACGTTGTAATTTTGATTCTTTTAATGCAACATTGTTATGAATCTTAACTCATCGGTATTTTTAACAAATTATATTTTTAAATAAATTAAAGATGACATTATTTTAATTAATAATATGAATAGAAAATGTTTAAAGTAAAAAAGTTTTACAGTTAATTAATTTTTACATTTTAATAATGAGATATTATTATATATATATCAATAAAGTTATATACTTAAATAAATTAATTTTAACATATTATTTTATAATATAAACTATAAACAGCTTATTATTATTTTTTGTTTATTTTACAATTTTATGAATTTAAAAAATTTAATCTACTTTTTTAACTATAATCTATGTGGACTAAATAATAAAATTGTATGCCTATATATTTAGTTATACGAATAATATATTTTATATGTTATTTCTAATGCATTTTTATTTTATCAGAAATCAATAAGGATTATAGTATTATTAATATTATAATTTCTTATTTTATTAGATTATTTTTAATTAAATCTGTATAGATAGACAATAATTAAAATAAACATTTCAAGTACATTATAAACATAATTATTTTTAAACCAATTATTGAAAACAAGTTATTTCAACATTAAAGTAAGCTAATTAAATTGTTGAGTTAATCAGACAATTAACTAACTAATTATACTATGTTTTAATAATCATATTTTATTTCTAACTAAAAATGTTTAACCTACAGTCATATATGCCCACCTTTAATGATATCCACTTATTATAATACTAATTTTTAACCATTATTACACATTCGTTATAGAATAGTTGCACATGGTACATAATATTGACGTACTATTTCATGATTCCATATGGCTTCGTGTGTATAATATTAAATGTGTAATGTGAATGCGAACTATTGACATAGGTACACAATATCACGACAAACGGTTTGTTTAATTTAAATTGTTCATTAAATTATATAACATATATAATATACTAAATAGATAATAAGAAAAAAACTTATTTTTTATTTTTACGGGATGAGAGTCTAAATTGCACTATGATTTCAAGAAGTATCTCGGTGTCAGTTTTCATTTACAGTATATTCTATATGTGTGTGTACACGCAAGCATTTTTTTACACTCTGGAGCGCATTGATGGTTTCTTACGTCGCAATGATTTCAGAGAGCGCGCGATTCCACTTCAGCGTTATCGAATTTCGCTGCAAACGGTAGCCTTATGTGTAGCTACTGAAGGAGTTGACATTTTTGTTCGGAGCTTAACATGTGTTCATGTCAGGGTTCTTATGTTTAAAAAATTTTGTTTTAATAAGACGTTTGAAATATGTTTTAAACAAATGATAAAAAACCTTATACTTTAAAACAAAACAAACAGTACAATATTTAAACTAAACGTTTTTTTAACAAGATGTTTTAAACAATAAACATATATTTTTTGTTTTAGTAAATTTAATAAAATTTTTTTTGTAATACTTTGTAAGTTGTTTGCTGTATTTCTAGGTATAGCTAACCTATTAAGTGCAGGTAACTAATGAAAGGAATTTTATAAAACATGATTATAATAACGAATATAGATCTTTAATAATTGTAGATCCTGGTTAAAAACTAATTTTCACGGATTTGGTTCTAATTTTCAATTTATAGCTATTAATAATTAAACTTTAAGCTATAACTACTCGTATAATACATAGATACATAATAATATGAAAGAAATATTTAATAAATAAAAGTAAGTACATCGTAGGTATATATTATTATGACATATAATCAAATATACCATTTTGTTTTCTTAATTAATTTATAATTAATTGTATGACAATTAAAACATTATAATTAATATTACATAGTTATGGACGTTATACTTTTACAACTAATGTATCATAAATATTACACATAACTAAACCTATAAAATTTATAGTTCTACGTCAGAAAAATAGTCAAAAAGTACAATATATATTATATATACATAATCTACTTTCCACAAAGAGCATTATGTATGAATTTAACGCTATTACGCTAAGGACATATTATAATTATTATAAAATACCTATACAATATAATAAGTAGAAATCGATTATAACGTAAGCTACCTATAAAAGAATTAAACTCATATGAACATTATTTTTTTTAAAAATATTTTTGTATTTTATAATTAATTAATATTGAAATGATATAAAAATATAAGAATGGATATAATACTATACAGTGTATACAAAATAGTAGCCATAAAATGTAAATATAAATACAAATATTTTTATCAATTAATTTAAATTTCACATTATTTTAAAATAATTTATAGTCGTAGATATTGGTATGAAATCTCATATTCATTAATTATTACTTATTAGTTTCAGTAATAAAGTATATAGTATAAGAACACTATCAAACGCAATTCGATAAATATAACTTAAACGTTTATTTTTGTCATATTGAATATGTTTTAAATATGTAACCATAATATCAAATTAAATAATGTTTATATTTTTACCTCTTATTGTTAATTATTTGCAGGAACTCTAAGACCTCCTGGTCTAATTGGTGGAAGTAAACCCAAGGTTGCCACCCCAGCAGTTGTATCGAAAATTGAATTCTACAAACGAGAAAATCCAACGATATTTGCGTGGGAGATTCGCGAAAAACTCATTTCTGAAGGTAATATTATTATATGTTTATAGCTTGTATAATATTAACTACCTATATAATCGAATAAAATAAATGTAAGCGTCTTATGGTTCGTATAAATGGTTGGTTGACACATTTTAATACACTATTAATATTTTTATATGTTAACTAAGATTATTATTTTTTTAAACAAACGCTTATATAAATGACTAAAACACAGTTATTAGTTACTACACGAGTATAAACAAATAATTTAATAATAATTTATTCAAATCTTTAAGAAAACGTATAATTATTTAATGTTATCTGCAATGTCATAGATAAGTATGCGTTTCTTCTAATCGTAATTCATGAACATGATATATAGATAGAATGAGTAATTAAAGCCATGAAAATTATCAAAATAATACCTAAAATTATCTATACTGACAGGTTCTAAAAATTATAACCATATTTGATACTAACTTTTAAAATATTTTTAATTCATCATTTTATATTATAATATAAATACTAACTTTTCTAGTGATCACTAGGAATTGCTAAACACATTTTAGTATAAGTACCTATTTTTATGAATTTATTTACATAAAAAATATATTCAAATATGTTTTACACTTAGGAGTAATTTCATTTAACTCGAGTACAAAATATTTGTTGTTTTTTTTTTTTACAATAACTACACTCGCAGACCAAACGAGTAAAAATAAGAAGAGCACTGGTCTAAAAATGAACCATCTTATTGTTAATTGCTATTTTGTCTGCGCCTATTCACTTAGTTAATTTGAACCTCTTGTTAATAATTTTAAATGTATACAAAACTACTAACACGGTTTTATATGTTTCATAAAAATGAATTTAAAGTAGTCGTACTCTTGCATATATAACTCTAAAATAATAACATAGAAACTATTTTATTTAAAATTTACCTTATAAATACAGTTATTAACTATGTAAAAATAACTGAATATGTTAAATTTATTTTAAAATAATCATTAATTAAAGGCAGATTCAATTTTAACTAATTATGTATCTTTATTCAATATTATTTAGTTTTTTGAAGGTAATATAAAGTATAAAATCCCAATGATTCGATCTCATTAAATTCGACTCACACACACACACACACACACACACATTTTAGGTGCAATATAGATTATATTATATCTTACATTATCTAATAGAACTATTATAAAGGGAAATTGAATGTAAAATATAATGTTACACAAACACGTAACACATAAGATGTGAGGACATTTAGTGGCGTATTTTCAATAATTTCTTGAAGGGGGGAGTTAACATTTTTAAAATCATATGATAAAGCTTATTTTTAGGGTTGAGATTTTGAAGCAAAGATCTTTTTTTTGATGTTTTAAAACGTTGGTTAGTAAGCTTAAAATGTGTTTTGGGTAATACTAATAATTTTAAAGTATTTTGTTTTTTACATATTTTTGCATTTTGTGATAAAATCAATCTTAATTTCATTTATAGGGCATTTTTGACAATTTTGGTGCATTTTCCTAGTTTTTAAAACGTTTTTCATAATTTTTTCATAAAATGAACGAAAGTTGTTGCGATTAACAAGAGACTTTCGACGAACTGCCAATGCTATAAATAATAAATTATATAATACGACAAGTTATCGTCGATAACAAATATTTTATCATAGATACGTCTTTCCGCTAATGATTAAGAAAAAACAGAAGATCATTCAATTAAACAAGTAACAACGTATAATGCTATTAGAAATAAAAAATTTACTTCTTTCGTATCATTTTTAAATTTTTTTTCCAATTTTTAAGCTATAATGAATAAATTTAAATACATTTTTATAGTGCATTTTTTGAGTTTTTTAAGATATTTTTGCTTTTTTGAAATTTTTTAGGGTATTGAAATTCTAGCTCTACTTATATAAAATAAGGAATAAAGAGATAAAATGAATACAAACAATACTATTTTATAACTGAAAAAAAATGTTACGATTTTAGTAAAATTATTTCTTAGCTTAATTACATCTATTAGAATATCAGTACAATAATTTGTCAAATAAAATAATTAATTACTATGTCATTTTTTAATTTACATTTTTCTTCATTTTAAATTTTAAATTAAAAAAGATAAACGTGTTTTCTTTTTCACCAGTTCTTCAATTACTCTGTTGGTATAATTTTATCTTTCGAATTTATGGATAACATAGCTAACCCGTTTAGTCTTCCCTAAATTAAAAAGATTATAGATACTCCACACCAAAATAACCCAATTGTCTTAAACAATTATATAGATAGTCTGTTCATATCGTTTAATTATCAGAAAACCCGTAATTGATTTAACACGTTCAATAGTGCGGTCTTTTTGTTGTACCGTTACCGTGTTGCTACGACGAATTTCCGCCCGGTCGACTCTACGTGTCGACATCAGTCACCGGCGCTTTACTATTATGGTTTTTATGGATTGTGAACGATAATTTTATAATTTGTTTATCGAAAATTCCGTACACACATACTGGTAAGGGATTTTCTTATAATTTATAAATAATATTTTAATTAAAAACTTCTACGACGTGCTGGTGTATAGATACATGTTTTTTTTGTTCTGGGAAGGGGTTTGATCCCGGAACCCCCCCACCCCTTAAATACGCCACTAAGGACATTATTAAAATGTAAAGGTATTGTCATTGCAGTATGCAATGTACCTAACCTGCCTATACACAATTGAACAATAAATCGAAACAAATATGTATTGTAAAACATGGCGTTTATTATAACGTTGAAAAGAAAACAAATCAACTGCATGATTTATGAACGATTGCGACCTACGTGTTTACGTACATTCGCATTTGTCGACATTATTATTATATTAGCAACCCGTAGACTTGTCACGATCGTCGAACGATATCATAGATGTTTAGGCACATAATATGTCTATAATCCAAGTATATTATTATATTATACCTGCCTACCTATATAATAATATCATATATTATTGTATATTTCTATAGTCTGGTACCTACGTGACTCGCCAAGTCGACGTTTATCTTACGTTCACGTTGTTTCGTAACGAATCATTGAAACATATTATCGTTTTTAAAAACGACATCACACAGACGCAGGTTCGTAATTAAATTGGTCATGGGGATCATTGGGTGTTCGGCGTGTGTACAGCAATAGTATAAGTACTCATATATACGTATGTACGCATTGTACATTGTATGTCTCCGACGGTAATTCGATGTGGGCTTGAAGGCGCATTTCTATCTCCTTTTCATTAATATTTTCTTTTACACATGGACTATGGATACATCGTGTACTCGGCAATAGTTGTTGTATGTGTGTGTGTGTGTATGTCATTTATACACAGAATACTTGTGTATAGTGGTTGTTCAACATTTATATTGTATTATTATGACTATTATTATTATTATTATTATTATTATTATTACTACTATTATTGTCGTCATCATTATCGCAGTCGTCAAATCGATCGGTGACAACAAATATATATAACAACGGGTAACGAATTTATCTTTTCCATTTTACCAATTATATGACGGCATAAAAGGATTATGTTTTTCGTGTGAACGAAACAGAATGGAAATTATTATATTGTGGTGTGCCGTGTGTCAGTCACGTCAGCGAACAAGCTACTTCTTGGGTGCTGCTGGTAGGAAAACGTTCACGTCTTGAATGGACTTGAATCGTCAAAATCTTCTCTCGTCTCACTCACTCAAACACTACTTCTCTCTCGTTCTCTCTTTCTCACTTGTGCTCGTTCTGTCCGTTTCTTTATGACCAGGGGAATTATGAAAATTTAACAAGTATTACACGGTATGTAATATATATATATATACATTAAAAATATCGATAAATCGCGGATCAAAGAGAGAGTTAACTAGTGAAAATCCGATCGATTTGGCTTACCGACAATAGTGAAATAATATTTCTAATTGTTTATTTCTTTTAAGCAGGTCAATTTTCACGTGACTATTTGACCATATTTTTCACAAAACCCACACTTTATTTTACATGGTTGAAATGTATATCAAAACAAAAATATGAATATATAACAAAATATTCAACTCATTAAATTGAGTTTTTAGATATTTCTTATAAAATAAATACGAGAAGCAATATTATGATCACCAGATAAGTTTTAATATTATCAGTAATAAAAATATATTTATCGATTATTTTTATATTTACAAATATAAATTATAGTATCAATATCCGTTTATATTAAATGAACAAAATTTACCGAAAACAAGAACAAAACTAAAACCTTTTAATGTTATTGTTTCGAGCAAAAACAATACTGTCTCTTAAAATACAAGTATTATATTGGCTGTTTGGATAATATTCTATAATATTGTTTCCATTTTGATTTCTATTTCAAATTTGTTGTTGATTTGTAGAAAAAATATATTCTTTTTTTTTATCAACTAAGTATAGACTAACATAAAGTTAGTTACCTATAGGTATGCAAAGAAGTTCATTGATTTAATTTGGCAAAAAATATTGTTAATTATTTTTAATAAAAATTTCGTATCTTTTTTTATTTGTTTGTTCTTGTAATAATCAACCAAAATTCGTAATATTTTTTTTTAATAACTTTAATTTTTTTTTCTTTATTGAGTATTTAACAGTAGAATTATTATATATCAACTATTAAATATTACATTGTAAAATATTTTTTACCAAAAACCACTTACTAAGTTGAAAATCTGAGAATTTTTTTACTAATTATCATATACAAAGACGCCAAAAAATACACTTCTTTATAAAGCCAATACAATATTAACACTTCGCTCAGGTTCTAAAGCATTGAAGCTATGTTTATTTGGTAATACATCTATGTACAGTGAATAAAGTGCAGTGATTTTGGAGCTCATCAAGTTAATAAACTATCAGCTTTAAAATTTGGCTCATAATTATCATATTTTATAATATTTATAATGTATTATGAAAATTATTTTTATTTTAGTGTAAAATCTTTCATCTTTAGTAGGTTAGGTAAGATAAAAAATAATAGTTATCAATAAATTGAGAAAAATTGAACATTATTAAACATTTTAAATGTATCATCATAAAACAAATTAAACAACTACCAATTATTTTATTAATATACATAATATAAACATATAATAATATATCAATATGTGATTGATAAATATATGATATTACTCGTGTTTAGAAATTTTATTCGTTATTCACATGTTATTATAAATTTATACAATCCATTTACGTATATATATATGCGTATTTTAACATATATGTGTATGCTAGTTAAGTATAATACTGTGTTACACCTGTTATTCACTTTATACCGTCACGCCTTTTCTGTCATTACAAATGTATTTATTGTTTTAGTTTATTATGCCTACTTAATGCATTAATACTTTATTGATCCATCAATCTAGAAAATACTTTAAGATATGTTTAAATTATTAGAATAATCGGATTTCCATTAATTTGGTTAAAATCGAATCAATTGACACATGACACAGATAATTAGACTATACCTAATACAGTAATACTTATGCTTATATGAATTAATTTTAATAATATATTGTCAAGGTTTTTAGTTAAATATAGAATCAATCAAGAATATAAATACTATAATACATTTTAAATATATTATATGTATACGTTTTACAATTACCGATTATAAAATAAACTTGTAAGTAAAATAAATATAAAACAAGAAATTACATTTTCATTAGTCACATACTCGTATTTATTTATCGTGATCTTCAGGTTTATAGTTATTGAAAATATGGGTTTACAATTATTTTTAGTATTTATTTTGATTCCAAATATACATAGATACAATACATAATTAATATATTTCCTTATTTGACGAATTTCATACATGTTTGAAAATATTTATGAAATAAACATCAACATTGCAATGAAGATTTAATAATTGATTAATTGAAATTATGTAAGCCGTTGAAAAGTAATACGGATAATTATTGTAAAACGAATAAAATAGTGTAAGTACGTGTTATACATTTATAACTCATATGACGATATTAAATTTGAGTTGATTGCTTGTTTAACAATCATAGAAATTCTCGATATACATTGATAAAATATTATAAATAAACAGCCATATTGAGATTAGAGGGTAGTTATTTTAATAGTAAACATTCATCAAAAAGTATTTGTTTATACATTTTTTTTAAACATAAATATATGTTTATAAATATTAATTTTTTTATCATTATCGTTTTTAATGGAAGTGGGTTTTCAAAGATAAAAACTAATGTTTTTAATTTAATATTTCTAAACAAAATATTTTCCTGATTATTTCCATTTATAAAACGCAAATTTTTAACGAGTAGTTATATTGTTCAAAATTTTATTGAAAAAGTATGGTACTGCAGAAAAGTGTGAAATGTTTAGTATTTATTAATTTAAAGTTTAAATAAGCACCAATACCAATATTTATAGAAAATTATCTAATCGTTATAAATTTTATATTTTTACATCCAAGTTCTCAAAAAATATTCTGCTTTAAAAATAAAATGAGTAAAAACATTTTAAAAAGTAGCAATTATAAATAGTATTTATTTTTTGTTGTGAGTTCAAAATGGGTAACAAAAATATTTTCAAAAACTTTAACGTTTTTTTTTTTTTTTAATAATTACTGTTCACTGTTGAATAAATTTCACCCAGCTTACGATTTATTAATACTCCACTACAGTAATACGCATAACATATTATATCATACGAAATCATTTAGATCGTGTGTGGGCTCGACGCGGTGGCACATGTCAACCTAAACAATAGTATATCTATATTGCGTATTACGTCGGCGGTCGGCATATTATATTATAGGTACATACACCTGCAATACGAAGGGAAAAATATGACTACCTATATGTAGACAGTTGTTAAGCAGAATATGTAGTACATATCTACTCGAGTTGCACGACTGCAGCAGTCGGTTTCAAACATCTAAGTTCAAGTGTTTCTTTGTGAGAGATCTATTCTCAATATACATACCAATGAATTAAGTCGTCATGAAATTTCCCAAACCTAGTAATTTAAAGCGTTGGCGATAGTCAAAAATTAAATGTTACAATATTTAAAACGCTTGCACTTGATATTACTTAATTAATACGCATTTGAAAAAGGTAAGAAGTGAAAATTACAAACCATTTATATACTTTCAACTGTCCGTTTTGTTTTAGAACCTACCATATTGGTTAGAAGTTAACGCAAACTCTGCGACTGTAAGATATCTCTTTAAAATGGCTACAATATCGGTGAAAACAAATTATACATAATCATTATTGTATTTCATTTTCGGTAAATTTATAAATGGCACAGACGAAAAATAGAGTACAAAGCGTATTGATGGTCAATCAAACAATGAACCAGCAAATTTAATGTTTTTTTTTTCGCAAAATCGCGTAGTATATACAGCTACTAACTCGAGATAGAAATTGTTAAAAAATATAATAATATTAGCACCATATAATTGTAACTGTATAATGTACCTAAATTTTTTATTACCGACTCGGGTCCACGTCCACACTCACTTGAGATAAGTCCGTGGACCGCCAGTTGAGAACCACTGATATAGTGACGCCATGTACAATGCACGTGATTCTGAGGCAATAAATATTGACGTTTGTCTGATCGGAGATATTTTTTGCGTGTTCGCAGGAGTGTGCACGAACGGTACGGCGCCGTCGGTGAGCAGCATTAACCGGATACTGAGGAACAGAGCGGCGGAGAGGGCTGCTGCCGAGTTCGCCCGGGCTGCCGGGTACGGTCTGTACCAGGTGTCGCATCCGTACGCATCGTTCCCGTGGCCGCCGCACCCGCACGGCATGTGGCCGGGCGTGGCCGCGGATGTTCCGTCCGCCGTGGCCGCGACCGTATCGTCGTCCGGCGGGTTGCCGCTGCACCACGGGCCAGCAGGTGCGTCCAACAAGACCACTCCACTGCAGCAAATGATCAACGCCCATCAGCCTTGCGGCGTCATGTCGTCCAGAGATCTCATGCCCAGGCTCATAGGTAAGTGCGCCCGTTTTTTATATTATACGCGACAGACCTTGTGCTACACTTGACTGGCAGATATGGATAGACCTATGAGGACTTAGAGATTTTACCTGTGGGACTTAAGTAAATGTTGGCGATTTTTTTTTTCCATTAATTTTATTACAAATAAATGCGATTATACTTTCAAAAGAAGATATTCATCACTGTTTTTTATCGGTTAATAAAAATATTTCTTTTAATTGTTTTGAATATTATTTTTACACCATGATATATAAAAGCTTTTCTTCTGAGTCCATGACACAAATAATAATGCTTATATAAGAACGAATCAGTTTAAACTACAACTATACTCTTTGTAGACTACCACATATTGTACCCTGAACTATAATGCTGGTTTATTAATATACGATCTATAGGCCTATAGCCAGTTGAAAATATAAGTTGGTTGTATTTAAATGTAATTATTATGATTTAAAGTTATTTTAAAACATAGTCAAATATATTATAATTGCAAACTGAAAAGAATCCAAATTTTGTGATACTTGATTGGCATAATTGTTTTGAATTTATTTACTTGGTCCAGTTGAATTGAATTTAATCATAATCGTAGCTATATTATTACAACAAAAACAAACGCCCACACAATACCGCTGTACGATCTTAGTATAGGTATATAGTTATAAGACTGTACATGGAGGTAGACGGGGAGATTAAGAATTTAAACCCATTACCTGCTCATAAAAATTTGTTCCAAGTACCGCCTTATTTAGGTATGATGTTTATTATAATGGCTATAACTATATAATCACAAATCACTAAATTGATTAATATCTACACAATTCAGCATCGTTTAATTGTTATCAACTTTTTTGATTTATTATTGATAGTGGATTTCTTGTTGAAATTAATGAAACCAAATAGTATTATAGAATGATAACGACCAAATAGTTACCTATATAAAAAAACAGTGACTTGATCGTTTTCATAGCCTTCTGCTTATTTTATTTATAGATTCGCCCTTGATTTTGATCATTGAATATGATTCTTACTACTTTTTTTATGTAAAACTTGGAAGACTCTGCATTAACTGTTATATATCGCATGATTAAAGTATACGATATATCTATAGGTATATTGTATTATATACATAACGCACGTGATCGTAATATATTAGGTGGAACTCGGCATCGATTCCAAGGGGGGAGGGTAAAAATAAATTGTGGTTTACGAATCCAACCTCTGCTTCCCCCACGCCCATAATGTATTTCCTTCCGTACGATAATCAAAAACTTTCATTTTTAAGATGAAAGTAAAACCAAAACATTCATAGCAAAATTGCTATAAGTATCCGTGGTAGTCATATTATTGTACTAAGCGAAATTTGGCATCGATTTCAAGGGGGAGGGCAAAATGAATTGCGGTTTACGGACCCAACCTCTGCCTCTCCCCACTCACACAATTCATTTCCTTCCGCACGATGACCAAAGACTTTCATTTTTAAAATAAAAGTAAAAACAAAAAATGTATAACAAAAATAACAAAAGTATTCAAATTTGTTAACAAATTTAGGTTCAAGAATAATTTAATGTCCACTGATATTTGCTACACTATATTATATCGTTTTTATAATTTTTTTGTTATAATATATATATATATATATTGTCAAATATTTGTTTATCTTTACATAATTAGAAGATATTGGAAGGAAGTAATTCATATTAATCGTGTTATACTCAAAAATATGACCGTTTTCCTATTATTTAGTTTAAATATTAATAAATTATAATTATAATTATATTAACATTAACATTAAAATAAAAAGTACAGGGAATTAATTTCTGAAAAAAATCTAAGTAAAATATAATACTTAAATTTTAAATAGTGAATCATTCTTTAAGTAATATTAAAAAATAAAGTAAATTTTAATTATACTGTATTATATAATACTATAAATTGGTGATCACTTTATTATAAATTTATTTTTTCAATGATTATAATTATCATCTGATCATTAAAATGTATTAATTTATTCAATCAATATCATTTAATGCTATATATTAGATATTTTATTAACAACATAAATGCTTGATTCTTTAAGTATTTTTTCAATTAATTTCCAGATTATATGACATACGTACAATTTAATATGGTATGAAATATTTTGATAATACTATCGGAAATTATGTTATAGGAGAAGAAATCGAAAGTAATTTTCAATATAGTTATAATACATCGTATTCTTTTTAACCGCATTTTTTTTTACTTAATAAATAATAAAATTTTTCAGGCTATTTGTTCTTTTGTTCAGACTTTGTCAGTCCTTTTTATGGGACTTTTTCCGTGAACTTTAATTTTATTTAACAATTTTTAAAATTTAATTATAACAGAATACTATGTAAATATTATTACGATTATTCAGTTATAAAATTACGTTTTTATTAAATTTGGTTTTACTACTTTTAATAAAACGATACTTTTGTACCTAGTAATCGTTTGTAATTAATACCCATACCCGGATTGGAATATAAATCCGATAACTGCAATAGTAGGTGGAACTTATACCTATTACGTCCTGTTATTCATTATCGATATATCCGTTGCAGCTATAGCTTACATAATACATAATGGGGGAATTATCCTATAGTCACTTGTTTTAATAGTATCGTGAGGTTTTCTATAAATAACTATAAAATCAACGACTTGCATGCATTAACTTTTTAAAATTTAAATATTATAGTGGTTTTAATTGTTGTTTTAAATATATGAACTAAAAAAAAGTTTGGTCAGTTTTTATTTAAAATTATCATTTCAACCAGTAAAATCTATTTTGGTATAGATATTGTATACAATGTTATAATAATGACAATGTTCTGCAGTTTTCACATTATGATATCACGTATATAATGACGTATAGGTATTATAAATAAAATACTCTCGCTGATATTTCATTAATTGGGTTTGCGTTTAACGTCAGGGGAATCACCCGTGATATTAAACATTAGTGTTAGTTACATATTTGCGGATCAATATCATATAAATAATATATAGGTATTTTGTAATCGTCAATAATCAAATAAAATAATAATAATAAATATTACACTATTGCATCCGCTCGTGAAAATCATTACTACATACAAGACCACAGTACATCGTAGGTATATTTATATTATATTATGTATGTAATATGTAAAAAACGTGTCTCGCGTCTGCAAGTACCTATATAATATTATACGTAGTGGTTCAAAAGGCGGTTCGCGCAACCGGTTATTGTTGACAAATTAAACGATTGCGGCGGGCAATTCGAGTGTCTTTGAAATCCAGAGAAGAAAAAAAACCATTTCAATTTATCTATGGTACGTGTTTCACGTCATTTTATGGTGCGAATTGAGTAAATCTATTCGTTTAAACAATAGTAATTATAATGGACGCGTGCCACGAGATAAAGTGTCGATCGTTTAAAATGTGTTATATAGCTCTGAATTCTGAAAGCTCTAGATATTATTCTCATAAAACCCGATATATTCATTATACCTTATAAAATTTTATTGAAGTGGGTACTTGCACGAATGTCCATGACGAAGTAATAATACATAGGTAACTGTGTAATTGATTGATTCATTTGCAATTATTCGGATTGGCGTTATCGTCATTTTAACTATATGCATTACAAAAAGTACTTTATCAATACTATATTAAATTCCACTCTACAACTTATTGTTATCACATAATATTATAACATATTGCCAGTCATTTTAAAACAATCATTTCATTATGTATATTAGTTCGACTAGCAACTGCCATAATAGTAAGCCTATCATTGCAGAGTGATATCAATATTCATCCTGGAAATCATTAATACGAAAACACGTGGTGCAGACGTGCAGTAGCTAATTTATCATCTGTGCTATAATAATAAGCACAACGAAATCGTATCTGTTGAAATTCCCATGAATAATAAAATCAGAAAATACCAGAAATGTTAGAATAACTTAAAAAATAAAATAAAAAATACAATATTAATTAAATGCATGAATGATCATGAAAGAATCGTCCACCGTCTAGAATACCATCTGGATTTTAAACCAGTTTTCTACTCGGCATAATTCAATCTATTTTAATCTTTTTTTTTTCTTACCATTAAATATAAATCCTCTGCTGATTTGAAATTAAAACAACGCGATTTTTAAAACTTTGATTCCATTAAAAACGAATTAGTTCACAATTGTATCGTATGTATTACTTGAAAGCGCATAATTTAAACCGCAAACTGGTTTCAAACATTCAAAATATTGCATTCAATTCACTATATTATAAACGCCTCTACAATTAAATAACCATTCATCGTGACTTATATTACATACAATATATTAAAATGAATTTTAGATAATAAACTATGGTATCCATTTTGTAATGTGTATACTTTATTAATGTTTTCCTGAATTTATTATTATTACACTATTCAAGTGATTAGATTCGTTTAAAATTTATGTTTTCAATTTATGTAGTTTTATAGGTAACTATAGTCTATAATACACGTTATAAAATTGTTTTAAAAAAAATGTAAACTCTTTAAAGTAGGTTATGATTTTAAAAACATTCATAATTTCTATTGTCTTTTTGATAATATATGATTGAATATTAGTAAGGTAATACTTTACTATGATTCAAAGATTATAAAAGGTTAAAATTTGCAATTATAATTTAAATTGATTATTACGAGTTCGGCTTATAATAATTTATTATAACAATTTAAATGCTTATAAAACTTAACGAAACATTTTTTTTTAATTAGATTTTATGACAGGTCACAATGGTTGACTCTATCGAACATAACTTAGTTATATACATGGACCGTTTTAGTGACTGATTCGTGACGAAAAAAACTTGTTGATATTGTAACGTGGCCAGAGGGTGACTAGTTAAATATATCTAGATAGAATCGTGGGATCATGTAGATATAATTACCGTAGCCAAGGGCAGTTAGATATAAGGTTCTTAAATGTATTAAATAACTAGAAGATAATTTAGGTTATTATTAAATTTTACCGCTTACTAAATACTTACAAAGTAGGTAAATAAAGTTTTACAATAGTCGGTAGTTTTATCGAAGTCGTACAGAGCTTATTGATATAAAATATAACAATGTCTTTAATGTATATAGTGAACTAATATTCTTACATGGTGTGTATTTAGGATAAGTATTATAGTTAATTTTGTGTGAATATATTATTGTATCGGTCAGCAGATAATCGTATTATATCTATAATATATGTACGTAATTCATTGTTACTAATATATACACATATAAGTGCCATGTAGGTAACATAATAGTTACCTACAGTGTAATCGTCAATTATAACACACACACATATATATATACATATTAAATATAATATAGGTCATATATACACAATGCACAGGGTGTGATTTATTTTATTTTAAGACAGTATAGGTACATTTCCATAAATATGAGCTCGTTTATACATATCATCGTAAGAAATATCTAAGTAAATCTTTTTTCTTTTTTTTTTTTTTGGAATCATGTGTTTGCATACGGTTATTCAACATTATTTAAATCTTCTATTGAAAATAAGTCATTTTGGTACTTATAAATCATCATTACCACATTAACAACTCTAATCAATTTAAGTTTTTTGTATTTAATGTATATCTATTTTTGCCATCCTTAAAAAAAATTGTACACCTTTCCCTTTGAAATAAAATAAAATTTTTAATTCGGGTAACATAAAAACATCAGTCTGGCACTTAGAGTCTGTATTGTATACAATGCATATCGGATTTTTTCGGTTTAAAGATAATAACTCGATAAGCAAATCGTGTTAAGTGAATTTTCTCCCGTAGAAATTAACAATAAAAATGTTAAATGCAGTTTTCTAGAGTCAGAAGTAATAAATATTGTTGAAAATTTGCAATGATCTACTGACCACTTTTACTAGTGGAAATAGTCTGGATACATATCAATAATATAATAACCGGTTTAACTATAAAGCGTTTGGGCTTACTTGTTTACATAAGACAACTTCACCTATAAATTTAGCTCACCATCGAAATCTTATACATATTTCAAAGTGCTCAATATTACATATGTACTTTTAGAATCATCTTAAGGTTATCGTTAGATTCGAGACAATATTGTATTCAGGAATTTTTTGAGGGGAGCCATTTGTTGCTCAGATAACTTGGACCCATGGACCTGATTCTTTTCGGGAACACTATAAACACGTAACTAGAGTATTGGACTTCCAGAGACCAGAGACAAATATATTTTAGAGGCTGTTAGATATTTAAATACAGTGTTTGTTAATTATACTGATTATATCTGATCACGGACGCCCCCATCCCATCATTGATTTAGTGGACATTTTTTAATTTTTCGACATAAAATACACGTGATAAAATAACCATCACGCTATATAATAAAATACACATTTTGATTCCCTACAAAGTTTTTGCCATAAAGAATTTTCATTTCAATATTATTTTTCTATACATATTATACACATATAGTACGTCTTCCATGTTGTAATAGAGGGACGACCCTATGGCCTATGTCCCGTCCATACAAATAATTATGGAACCGTGTCTACTGTGACTACACGAATATCTTTTATTTTTTAACAAAACGTGACGGCGATCGATTAGAATAAATTATACCATACAAATGCGCGCAAACATGTTCGATTTGTATTTAACGTAGTGTTATTTATTTAGACGCTCAATGTCAGTATCGCGAGATATAATATTGATAAACGGCTACTTTTGTATACAATACTGCGCAGATATATATTATTACATTAGTACTCGCTGCAATATTACGTGTACAATATAGTAGCGCCGATCGATTCACACGCCGACCAGTTATGCCTGCCATGATACTTTCCTATAATCTATATTATACTATATATGAGAGTCTGTAGCCTGTGGGTAGGTATAATATTGTGTAATGTCAATAATATCATCATATTGCATGTGATTAAAACGCAGACGGGTACGTAAACAATTCAGTTTATAATATTACATTATTACTATCTCTGCAGTATCTGTTCCCGCGCGAGTTCCTTAACGACGATTTGCATTAGCGTTTCCAATTACGCGCGCGCAAACCCGGTCGTCGGCCGATTATAATATAATATATATAAATTATAAATTATATATTAAGTAGGTTAACGTCTGCGCGTTAAAATTACACGTACATAAACACGTCCAGGACGACGCATTAACGTGCGTGCTGTAAATATAACGTGTGAGCGTAATAATATTATATAGCGACATGCGTGTAATAATAGCATGGCTGCTAAGCGGTGTACGTAAGTAGATAAATAATGTGTATATCATATTATGTACGGATAAAATAAAAGGAAACGTTGTGCAGGGTACGTTTTACAATTATATTTAATTTAATATATAATAACGATAATTATAATTCTGCAAATATTATTATTATTACGTTATGTACCACCTACCTATAATAATACATAGCCACATAAGTGTACGCATTTAAATGACACGAAAGGCGTGTTTTTTGTTTTTTTTTCTCCCCTTTTGTTTTACTCTGAAACTCTTTTACGCGAAACACTGCCGTCGCATTCATCCCAGAACACGCAGAAGTTCGTGCAATGCAAAACGATAATGATAATAATACGACTAATCAAAATGCACTTCCTGCCATGTATACATAATATTGTCGTCATTCAAGTCGGCCTATAATTATTATGTAATATGAACATAACTCTTGTCTCTTATTAGTGCAAATTATACCTGCAAGTATAATGGCCTGTTAAAAACGCATCTCGTCTAAATACGCGTTGATTACATAAGTGCTGACGAGAATCTCAAATAGATATCAATAACTCACATAAAAAATTATACTAGTCCTAGCCCCTAGGCCACTTAAACCCAAAATGTTTGCTCCCAATCCGATACTATATGAGTAATGCATCGTAACGAATAGCTTAGTATTAAATTAATAGGTTACTAAATCGTCTCGATCGCAGTTTCGTACATTATTTCATTGAAAATAAAATTGGTATTTATTACAACAATTAGTATTTTGATAACCTAACGTGAATATATTTATGTTTTTTTGTGATAACATAACATGATACAGTATAAAACCACCAAACTAATATTATAATACAATTAAATAAATATAAAACATATATCCGTGAAAATTATCGATAATTATCAAAACATCATATGTTGGAGGAAAATCAAAATAAAGTTTATTTTATTAATTCATATATATTAATTACATAAATACAAAACTAATTTATGTATTAGAAATTAAAATTTACTTTTATGTAAAACATTATACTACAAAATCTTTCAGTATAATACTAATTGATAAAATTAGTTATTTATTTAGAATTTCTCGTAAGATTAATAAGCCTCATTACAAAAACTCTTATGGAGGTCCAAAGTTATGAATACTTATGATTTACCACATGATATGTAGTTACTATTTGTTCCTTTCAGTGACGTTACGAAAATCCTGCTAGTTTTTTTCGTTTAATATATGATTATGTATCTACTATCTACCTATAAACCTTATATAATTATGTTAGTACCTATTTCTAATAATTTCCATTGTTTTTTATAGGCGACGGATCTGGAGGCATCGACGGTTGTAAAGATGATATGGAAAGCGTGGGCAGTGGCAGCGGATCTGAGCAACCAAAGTTTAGGCGCAATCGAACCACGTTCAGTCCTGATCAACTCGATGAATTGGAAAAGGAGTTCGACAAGAGCCACTATCCGTGCGTGAGCACTCGTGAACGGCTAGCTGCCAAAACTAGTTTATCTGAAGCCAGAGTACAAGTAAGTCGATTCATTATACTGTATTTGTTCGTATATATTAAAGCACTTTATAGGTATAGATCAAGATGGGTATGTTTAAACAAAGTGATCACAAAGTACGGCCCATCTTTATTTTCTTCAATAAAATTCAGTATGGTATTTAAAATTTTATTTTTTGAATTTTTAAATATATTTAAGATTATATTTTTAAATCTTGAAATTTTTTATAGGTACTACTTAAAAATTATCATATAGAGATACAGATTTTCAAATAAAAGGTTCTTTTTATACTATAAATTATTTTACGAATAACTTTTCTGAAAATATCGACAAATCAAATTCATATAATTAAATACTTACAAGTAGTTTTTGAGTTATTTAACTTTGTGTACCTACTAGCAACTAATAAGAAATACATTCATGATAAAGGGCTTGAGTAACTTGGAGAATATTGTGATAGTAGTATGGTTTTAGTAATTTATTTTAATCTATCTATCAATGTTTATGATTTAATGTCCCAAGTGTAATAATAATTGAAAAATTAATTGTTTTAATAAGATATATACAAATTTTAAAAAAAGTATCTTCTAAATAATTAGCAATAAAACAAGATTTAAAATATATGATCTTAAGTTTATTTAAAATTTTCAAAAATCCAAACCTGAATAAATGTATTATTAAATGAAATAATTGGAGCTAGCAATAAGCATACTTAGTAAATTACCTTGTTTAAACCACGAAATACCAAATTTTTAACATGCACCTACCTATATAATTAATAAACTCACATTATTAGAACTATAACTAAGTGTACACGATGTGCGCGATAAGTCATAACCGCAAGGTCGTGAACTATTAATATATTCGTATATGATTTCATACTTGATATTTTCGTTATTTCATGATATTATATGAACTTATAGTTCCATCAATCGAATTCGGACGTAATTCGTTTCACATAACTCATTTAATACGTGTGAAAATTTATTTTGCATATTTTTGCATGTTTTAAAGTTTAATCACATACAATATATCGACTACATATTTTGCGTATTTAAATAATTGATTGTTTTTACTTTTTTTTAACAATCCTGTAATCGTGTTTAGCCTCTGGGGTTATTTAAAAAAATATTTTAGTGAATTTAATAATAATTAACCCTTTTTTTTTAAAAAAAAGACAGATTATATTTTATACTGCACTATCTGGTAGGGCAAATAATGATAACAACTTTTTAATGAGTCTACTCGTAATTGTGTTAGTACGTGCAGTAGGTACTTATGAACAGTCCGTTTTCTTCCTCTTAATAATAATTTCGAGGACATAAACCATAATATAAGTTATTACCATTATATTTACTGTTGGACTAGATCCATCAATCACCAATTTGTACGTATTCATAGAGAATTAAAAAAAACATCGTTAGACCATTAATCACAGTTTATATTTTTATTCGAAACCTGAGACTAGACCGGTTACTTAGAGACAATAAAATTAAAATTAAATGATGTTTTTATTTTCAAAAACAATTTAAATAGTTCCGTTTGTTACGGAAATTTTGAGTTATTTTCTACTATTTTATTATGTGCGAATCCGAAATGCGTAATAACAATTTCATATTGAAAAACTTACCAATATTATAATATAATATATTCCATTAATTTCATACCGCTTTATGTTTTTCTTGGTAATTTAAAAAAACATATTTTCTATAGTAGAAGAACTATGATTATTTTAGTTCAATGGAAAAAATCTTTAAAATAACAATGAAAAAATAAAAAATAACTGTCATCAGGAAATATATTTGAAACTGCAATAAACTCTATTTTTAATGCACGCCATTTGCCTACAATATAATACGATCGATCATACGGTAATTGAATAACGCAAAGCCATATTAACTAAAGCTTTATATTAAAACAACTGAAATAAAAATAACTTCAAAAGCAATCTCCTAATACCTCTATTCTTTATGGCATTTCACACTATTTTTAACTTGAGTGAAAATTTCGCGTACAATAGTTTCTAGAAACTAAGAGTAATCAATGCACTGTCGATTCAGCAAGACCAAAAAAAAAAAAAAAAATCAATTCAAAATCTATTATATTTAGCCAATATTATTGTTTCGTTTCATATTATTTGGTATACTGTCTTTTTTAACTTTTGACTCTTAACGCGTTATAATGTTGTATACAGTGTGCATAAATAATGTATTATTGGAAGGGACATTCATTACAATGTATTTCGCAGGTGTGGTTCTCAAACCGAAGGGCCAAGTGGCGACGGCACCAGCGCATGAACAAATCGCGTCGGTCGGGCGTGGCGGCCGCGTCGACCGTGTCGGGCGGCAGCAGCGGTTCGGCAGCGGGTACGCCCACGCCGCCGGTCGTGTCGCCGGTCGTGGGGGCGATCGGCGGTCCATCCGGTGTACCGGACGGCGTCGGCGGCCCGCCTTGCCCGGCCGCAGGGGCCAGGTGTCTGGGCGGCGGCGAGAACAGCGCGTTCCGATCGCTGATGCCGCAACAGCACTTGCACCGACAGCTCGCCCAGCAGAGTTACGCCGCGTCCGAATCGTCCGAAGAGATAAACGTGACGACAGACGACGAAGAAGACGACGGTGGCGGCGTCGGCGGCGGTGGCGTCGGCAGTGGCGTTGTCGACGAACCGATGGACGACGGAGACGGTTCTAATTCGTCGTCGTACAACACTAACAACGACAACAACAACAACGACGGCGGCAACGGCGATGGCGACGATGTCGGCGACGACGACGACGGCGGCGGCGACGGTGGAAAGACGTCGGCGGCAGTCGCCCCGACACCTCATCATCATCATCAGCATCAGCATCATAATCAGAACAATAATCATGCGTCACGTCCGCGATTCGGTGCCGACCGACTTCCGTACTTCGGTCACATCATGCACCCGGCCGACGGGAAACGAACCGTCGACAGCCCGAACAACAACCATCACCACCTGAACCACTCGAACCAACACCCCCACAACAACAACAACAACAACAACAACCACCACAGCAACAACAACATTCATCACCACAACAGCGTGCTGTCCACGATCGCTTCGTGGCGCGAAATGGCCGCCTTCACGGCCCTACACCACCGGGCCCTCGAACAGGGCGCGGCCAAAGCGGCTGCGGCTGCGGCGGCGGCTGCGCAACCGTTGCAGTTGACCAAGTACGACAAGGACAGAGCGTAGGCGCGGGTGTTGCTCGTATAATGCAGGACGATTCAAAAGTCTTCGTCCGATTATCGATTAATAATCGGTCGCAAATCGTATCAGGTAAAAACAATTAATATCAAGACGTATTATTATAACATTGTACATTAGAGACAACTACGACGGTCTAGTGTTATTTTTCATTTTCGTTGGTGCACGATAAACGCGTTTCGTGTGACTGTTTGTAATCTAATTAGATTAGCGAACTTTCGTGACGTTAAATATAAATCAGTGTCGAGATGAACAGATAAAAAAAAAATAAATAAAAATAAGGAGCATTAGATTTTGAAACCGTGGTGTAGTCGTGGCAGCGAGGTCATAGCGAACGTTTGTAACGCACTAGGTAACAAATTAGCACTTGATCAGAGGCTTTTTAATCGTTTTGTTTTATACATAGACGATAGTAATAATAGTATACTAAAGTCAGGAAAGAGTTATACCCATTTTCCCACCGTTATGATTTTTCGGGAGTTACTTCAATTTTTGACGCCGTCGAGACCAATTTTCGCGTAGTCCTACACGGCGCGACGTAGAGCATCAAAGTATTCCTCTTATCCTTTGGGGGACGACTTATTCAGTACGATTTATTTGTATTTGGGAGTATGCTGGACGAGTTTACTTCCAATATACGTCGTATCAAATGGTCTCATGTTTACATACAGCCACCGAATACAACGACTATGTATTGCTTTACGAAAAGAAACACAATATTTTCCCAGAACGTACATAGATCGCATTGATCTGGGCCGACATATGTAATGTAAGCGCATTTATTAAATTTTTTAACCTCGACAAAAATCCGTCGTTTCTGGCACTTTAGGTACATAATATTAAACCAAAATCGGGAAATCGGAAAAATATTTTCGGGGGACACTCACTATCGCCAGACCGTCCACACTGCTACTATATTTATGTTTTTATGCTATTTATTCCTCATTCCATTTGAATTATGATTTTTTTGTAACTGCTTGTGTGTTGTACACCAATTGTTAATGCATTAATCGCGTTTATTTGTATAATATTTCATGTAAGACGTGTATCTAGTAAGTAGTTATTATGTAAATCAATTAAATTAATATTATAATATTGTATTATTGTATATATTTATTTCATATTGGTCGGTTCAACGATCGATGTGATTATAATATAATATGTTTGTATATATATTAATGTGGTGTATAATAATAGTTTTGGTGTGTTCGAAATATTCAATATAGTCGATGGAACAAAAAATATAAAATATAACTATACATACTTATAACTAATAATTTAATAATAGTATGATGTAGGTGTAAAATATATAATAATAATATAATATAGACGAGTTTGATGTGACGTCTATTTTTTTGTATTTTTTTCGCCTATCGACACGGTTTACACCATTTTGATAATATTTCATATGTATATAAAATATAAAAGAGTGGCTATCGTAAGACATATGTACATTCAAATAGTTTAGGCAAGCAAGTGTGTCTTTATTATTATTTATTATTTTTTTTTATTTTTTTTTTTTTGTAAATAGCTATTGTAAACGACTTACGAGTCTCGTTAAATGGAAGCGTTTTAAATCGATACCGTAACGCGAATATTGCATTTATTTAATTAAATATTTTATTCAAATACTAAAAATATCATTAAAACAATATTGTTATTCACTAGAATATAATATTATAAGCACATATAAATACAAACATAATAACTAAATAATATTTACCTTGTGACTTACAAATTGTCGAACCCCTATTAAAGAAATTGGACCTCGATGTATCATGTACACTGAATTTTAAATAATTAGGTTTTAATTCATTTGCAACGTCGTGTGGTGCTAATGGTAATATATTATAAACCATAATATTAATATAATTTATTTTATAAGCATCTGCAAGACGATCGAATTAGAATTTGAAATTTGTACGTAAATTGTAACGAAAATTTGTTTATGTATAATTGTATCATTTGTTTTTTTGTATAGGTTTTGGTGTATGATATATTCGTCAAAATTTTTTTTTATTTTCTATTGTTTTTCGGTCTCTGCGTATAGAATTGCGTTGTTCTCATCTGTGACGTCTTGCAGTTTGGATTTCCAACGACATCCAAATCACTCTGTTATGCGTACTGTAAAATATTTACAACAGGTGCGTCTCGAACCACAAAATCCTTAGCCACATCTTTGTTTAAGACCGACGTGTAAAAATTATAATATTCTATGAACCACGCGAACCACGCATCACTGCTGTTTTCTCGAATGTCTTTATACATGACTTTTTGTTTGTCAAATCACGTGTGCACTTATTTTTAATTGGTTTTTTTTTTATTCGTATATAGCTTAAGGCGCACTACACTAAATATTTAATTTTCAGAGGGACATCAAATCCTGTACGATTTTCAAACATTAAGTTTAATAATATAATATATATATAGCTAAGATTGCATTGTTGTATATATATAAACATAAATATATTTAATAAATGTCAAATTAGACACTTTTCTTTTAGTCTGGGAAGGTGAAATCTACGTGGGTGGTGCTAAAAGTTCATTGACATTAGACTGTAAATAAAATGTCTAACTGAAATTTGATTGGGTTGGGGGAAGGCAATGTTCTCTATTTCCTGCACCCCTAAGTCCATCTATGAATAGACGATATGCTTGACCGGAAGGTATCGCAAAACGAGCGAGTGCATTCAAGTTCGTTTGTTAAATATTTCGAGATTGTTAATATTTGCTGAATACCAGCAACATATTTAGGTGTTGGAACCATATGTGTATTGCGTCACACAAATTGTGTTTATTTAATGCTTACAAACACATTTACTTAACGCTTGCGATCGAAAATAGGTGTACGACCATCAGTGTCGCATTATATTATAATATTACGTGTATGTTTTGATATAATATACACACATAAAATATTTTTACAATGTAAACGTTTAGTTCATAAGGTGTAAAAATTTATTTTTAAACGGATATTTAGATTACAAAGACAATTATAGAAACAAACGCTGAGCATCACTGTCGATTTGAACAAATTAAAATGCATTGTGTAGAGTGTTATACTTAATATATATTATGGTTCGCTTATTTTAGTTATAATTTCAGTGTTATATTAATTTTTTTTTTATATTTTATAACGACTTATCTGTGATATAGCCTTATTATTACAAGTTTAATTTTCTTTTTTCCTTTTTTTTTTTTTAATATATAAAGTATATAAAAATACAAAATATTACTAAATTTGTACACTTGTTAGCATTATATTTAAAGCGTGTAATATTGTATTTATTAATTGCACAATAAACTATATATTTCGAACAACTCAGCAATAGTTGTACAAATTTTTTATCACCATACTCTCTATAAATATAATTGTATGTGTGATTCATGTAGTTGAAAGTCAATATAAGTCAGAAATACATAAAAAATAGACAAATAATTCGGATTACAAATATGAAATAAGAGAGAAAAAAAAAATGAAACGTTAAGCGTTATTCGGGATCATCAATACTTCCTTCAAAAAGAAAAAGTTATTGTGTGAATATACTTATTATAATATAAGAGCACAATTTGAAAATAATAGTAAAACTACCACAACAGATATTCCGTCAATATTTTGTCAAAATGAAATCTTAAAAACTTAAGGTAAGTAAACTTTATAAAATGAGTAAATTAATTAATTGTATTTTAAATCAAATTTAAGGCGTAGGTAATAAAATTTTTTTTATCGAATTAAGAATTACTTATCTTTTAAGAATCCTATAAAAAAGATAGGTATACGTATAACGTTTAAGAATATTGAAACGTGCGTGTATAAGATGCCTAATTTGATCGATTACAAACATCGCTATGTTATTGAAAAGAGAAATATTTCCAATAGGTAGGTACTTGAATTTAGTATTAGTGTAATGTCATTAGTTAATAACTATTAGTTATAAATTATATTCAGTTTTGAATACCTATTTAAAACATCTTAAGAATGTCAACGAACATGTTATATTTAGACGCTGCCATAAATCACAATCTAACATTAGCTATAGTCCATCTCAGGATAGACCAAACTCATTTATCACACACATTCACACACACATATCCATCCGTCTAATAATTATTCTCGTCGTTAATTACATTGAAACTTATACATAAATTATAAGTATTTAAAAGCTTGATGGAAATTAATAATTTATACCTTAAAAGTACTAAGATCTACCATCTCATGTATAATTAAAACAAAATATCGAAATTGTTAAATTAAAGATAAGGTGAAATAAAATAAAAATGTATTTAAATTTATAATAAACTTATAGCTTCTTAAAAAAGTGATAATTTTTAAAAATATTTGTTGAAATGGACGTCATTAATGAAGACAAACAATAAACAAAACACTGTGCGGTGTTTGGAAATAATATGCCGTTTGAATTTTGTGAGTGATTCATGACGTTACTGACATGATATATTAAAACAGATTACGTGAACAAAATTCATATTTTTATAGAATTTCGATGATTTTTTGCTCATCTATATGTATTTTTTTTTTCACGTAGATATTAAGTTAATTTTCTGCATTTATTACTTACATTATTATATTTATACATTATAATATTTTTATATAATTTATATGTTATAATATGTATACTCATATATTATAACTAAATACTTATTTGGTATTTAATTTTTCCATGTTATATTTATGTGTATTATATTTGTAATTCATTAAATTATTATAATTGATTATAGTTTATAAATTTATTTTCTAATCAAAAATTTCAGTGAATACCTATCAGGACTTTTTTTTAAATAATATATTTTACATTATATTTGTTTATGTATTAATTTTACTTTGATTTGGATAAAAAAATTATCCCAGTGATTAAATTGGTTTTAAGAAAAGATATTTTATTTTAATATGATTAAATAATTTTAAGTGTTATTTGATAAATATTATAAAAAAGTTTAATAAATATTTATAACTTCTCAAGAGAAAATTATTAATTGAAGTGAATAACCAGATCAATGTGGTAATTTTTTTTTTTTTAAACATGTACACGAACAACAAACGTGTTCCCTTATAAAAAAAAAAAAAAAAAATTAACACGGACGCTTTCATTTTATACATAATAACTAATGAATAAAAAGTATGAATGAGAACGAATTATATTGTCAAGTGAATTTCCGAACATTAATACTCCGCATAACCGTTTAGGTAAAGTTATCTGTTATACATTTTATTAGAAGTATCTTGCTTATTATATGGAATTTTGTATCTTAAATATTTTAAATTATATTTATTTTTTTTTTTTTTATATATAATAATCTTAAATTTATGAACACATTTTCTAAAGCTTCTAAAGCTATGAAATATTACTATGATCCAAACACATCAAAATTCATTGAATATTACTACCTTTCTTGTTTTTCGTTTTGTTTTTTGGGGGTGGGGGCAGGTTACCAAGTTACTTAATTTTCATTTGTATGATCAGTTCTGTAATTTTATTATACTCAAATATTATAAATAATAATTAAGTTCAGTCATACTTAAAACATTTATACTTTAAATAACTTTTAAAAAGAAAATCCATAGAGAATTTAATTTATATCCACCGGCTACCAGCTACTATATTTTTGTTTTAGATCATCTATATTTTATATAGATATTTTTTTTATATATTTTATTGTTTTTATCTTAAGTTAGTAATAATTAAATACTAAGTTCACGTTTAGTTTCGTAAGTTCAATATTATAGTAGATTTACAATTATTAAAAGTAGATATATATAATCAATCTTAAAAGAGTAATGAAAATGTCTTTGTTTTATTAAAAGTTGTTTTTCGATTTGTTTTAAGTTTTATAATTTTAAATAACGTAAAACGCTAAATTGTTCATAACGTTTAAATTTTCTTTGACGGTAAGCAATTTTATGTTTACAAAGAATATGATGTTGATAATATTATACTGTATAATTTGTATTAATATATATTTTCTATAACCTTTATCCATGAATTAGTTTATTAATTCAAAATGCTGATTACTATAATCAAAATTTATGTT